CAGTAGACAGACAGAGAAAACAAAGGTAGATATCGAGACGGGAAGGGAGTTCCCGATGTAAGAAAGAGATAAGTGAAAGCGGAAGACGGGGGTGGACGGGCGGCGTGTCGGGAGAAAGGACGAGAGATACGGGCAGAATGAGAAAAGAGAGAGACAGCGAGCGAACTACGTAAGAACCCTCGTATTGATCCACCCTCTACGCCTCGTTACGACTATCTTTCCTACGAATCTCTAAGCAAAAGGCCTCTCCCACTTTTCGTGCGCGTCCCATTACGTAAAAAGGGGAAGGATGTGCAGGCACGCCGTGACAGGTATCCGACGTTCGAGATCCTTGTACGTGATCTCGCGCTTCCATCAACGCCTCACGGGATTTTTCGATGAAATCGAAGAAGTTCGTAATTGGGGGCGCAATAATTGCACGTCAAGACTTCGGGGTGAGGATGTAGTCGATGGGACGTTTATAGGTAGACTGCGGATTTTTCTATGAAATTCAAGTATCGTAACAGATACAGTAACCTATCTAATTCATCTACTAACCGATCAATCTGACAATTATTTCGAACACGATTGTTCACGACTCAGGAATCGGTGTCGCTCAAATTCTTAATTTCCCTAAATATATTGTCTCATCGCTGAAGCATCTTCTTAAAAATACAAAGATTCCATATCATCGAACCTATCGAAACTACAGAAATACTAAGCCATCGGTCGTCGATGATTTCAACGTACTCGCGATGTTTTCAAAGGAAATAGATTCCCCGCGGGCGAGAGTTTACACACTGAAAATTGCACGTTACAGTTACTTAAAAAACCGTAGGAGTATATTCAGACGATGACGATCGGATACCGCCCACAGTATCGTCGCGCGGAGCCGCGTTTAATTTACGAGCGGACTGGACCTCGCGACTCGAAGGATTAATTTTTGCCGGCGTGATGTATCGCTCGCGCAAGAAGGAAAACGCGGCGGAGACCGCGCGCTGATTTACAGCGCCGCACGTACGACCAATTTATTAGAATTACACAACCGGTACACAGAGCGCGAAAGCCCTCGGACCGTATTCACCGATGATTTACGTATCGACTCGATCGGGCCCGGCGATCCCGCGGCACTAAGGTCCTTTCCCTAATTTTTTCCCTTCCCTGTTATCGAGCGCGAGCGTAAATCTGGATCTGCCGATGAACCGACACCTGTATGCGCCAGTGTAAAATATATATTTTTTTATACGAGCAGGATATTTCATCGAGGATTACGAACCGATCTCGTCGGGGAAGGATGGCGGAGTCTGTTCGAAATTTATATTCGGTGTGCGGCGAATTAACGCGTTGCTAACAGTTGATTAACACGTTTGCCGTGAGCGTCGTATGTGTGTACACTGTCAGCCAGAAGCTTGAAATCTAGCACCTTCCGGGTAA